ACTCTCACTTGTTAGTCTTTTAACAGTGTACAAAATCCATGAACACTGTTTAAACACCTTAAGGACAGATTCCATTGAATTACATTTCCGCTCTGTTTACAGCTGTCAATATCCATGACCATGCCAACAAGCTTTTACTTGTTACAGTGTGCAAGATCCATGACACTGTAACAAGTTTCCTTGTTACAGTGTACAAGATCCATGCCACTGTAACAAGTTTCCTTGTTACAGGTGTACAAGATCCATGATAACTGTAACAAGTTCCTTGTTACAGTGTACAAGATCCATGCCACTGTAAACAAGTTTCCTTGTTACAGGTGTACAAGATCCATGATACTGTAACAAGTTTCCTTGTTACAGTTGTACAAGATCATGATACTGTAACAAGTTTCCTTGTTACAGTGTACAAGATCCATGACACTGCAACAAGTTTCCTTGTTACAGTGTACAAGATTCCATGACACTTGCAACAAGTTTACTTGTTACAGTGTACAAATCCATGACACTAACAAGTTCCTGTTACAGTGTACAAGATCCATGATACTGTAACATGTCTCCTTGTTACAGTGTACACGATCCATGACACTGTAACCAATTTTCCTTGTACGGTATCATGGATCTGGTATTACTGGTGCACATCACTGGGATGCCCGGAGCCACCTTGAGGACGGTTTGTGCCGTGTACCTCTGCGTCCGTGCGGCGCGGCGGCGGGGCGCGCGTCCTCCACCTCGGCGCCGATGATGGGCGACGCCGGGCGATGCGGGGCGAGCGCCGGGTCGGGGCGCGGGGGCGCTCCGACAGCGGGCGACGCCGTGAACGGGCAGGCGCCGCACGCGTCGAGCGCCGCCGGGTCGTCGGGAGTGGGCGGCGGCGGCGGCGCGGGCGACGCGGACGACGGGCGCGCGCCCCGCGCGTGGTGCTCGTCGAGGTCCGGGCGCCGCCGCTGCGTCGCCGCCCCCCGCCGCCTGCCGCCCGCCGCCGCCGCGAGCACGCCAGCGCCTCCCGCAGCGACGGCCGCCACGCCGCGCCGGCCTCCGCCTCCGCCTCCTGCGCAGCGCACCCGCGGTGGAATAGCAAGCGCAGAACGCTACCCAAACAATACTAGGTACTAACAGCAATGGCAACAATGACTAATAATAATAATAATAATAATAATATAATAAAATAATAATAATAATAATAATAATAATAATAATAATAATAATAATAATAATAATAATAATAATAATAATAATAAGTCGGCCCCGTGGCGCAGATGGTTGCGGCAGCCGTCGTCTGTGCCGAGGAGGCTACAGGTTCGAGTCCTGCGTAGACATGGTCGTGTTTGTGATTGTTCCTTCACCTATCATCATCATCTCATCCTATCATCTCATAAGTCACCACTACAAGGCGTAACAACCTTTTGTAATCCAAGGATACAGCTGAAAAGCTGATCCTGGAAGAATTACACACGTTAATCGTGTAGCGTGGTCTGTAATGGCCTATACGCCAATAATAATAATAATAATAATAATAATAATAATAATTAGACTGAAAGTACAGTTTATAGACAATAAAGGATTGGTTTTGTACACCAAAAAAACCCGTTGGAGTATACCAGATCCATGATAATGTAATAAGAAAACTTGTTACAGTATCATGGATCGAGAATCATGAAAACAGTATCACGAAAAGAACCGTTGGAGTATTCCAGATCCATGACACTGTAACAAGTTTCCTTGTTACATTATCATGGATCTGGAATACTCCAACGGTTCTTTTTATTCCAGATCCATGATAACGTAACAAGGAAACTTGTTACAGTATCATGGATCGAGAGTCATGAAAACAGTATCATAAAACAGTTTTCACAAGTTATCACGTTTCCGTGTTACATTATCATGTATCTGGAATACTCCAACGGTTCTTTTTTTCAGTGAATTACTTCTACTACAACAACAACAATAATAACAACAACAACTTGGCGGCGATGGTGTTTTCTGTGGCGATGGTGTAACGATTAGCGTGTCTGACTGTTATACCTACGTTCGCGGGTTCAAACATGATCGAAGCCGTGGATTTTTAAGGGCGAAAAAAAACCTTCGGAGGGGAAGTAAAGCCGGCTGTCCCGTGTTGGTAGATTTACTGCATGTAAACTATCCTCAAGCTTAAATGACGCCTCTGAGCTACATTCAAATCACCTGTTTCGTCACCCAAGAATTACCTCGTTTCTCCGCTAGTGGGTGAAAGGAGCGTAGGGTGGAATTTGGGTGGTAAGGAATTAGGGTGGTCAGACGGAAGAGCGAGCCTCATGGCAAACTTTTCGCTGGTATTAAATGCCAAATAGATGAATGAACACGTAAATTTATTGAGAATTAAATTTTGCACGTTATGTTACGCTTTCAAATATTGATCTTCAGCTTCTAGGCCAATGACTTCCCTCTCAATTAGGGATTTTAGGCAGTTCCCATGAATGTAGGTTTACTATGCACGTGTTTTATTGAGCTCTATCGAGTTATCACCATCACGCGTCGAGATCAGAAGCTCGTTAATGACGGTAATACTCATCACTATCGATTTTTTATTTTAACGCTTTAATCGACTGCAGTTAAATTTTCTTCATATGACTGACATGATTACATATGATTTACAAAATATATTTTCTAATCAATAGCAATAGATTCCTTGGTTTTAAAACGTTTAAAACGTACTACTATTCAAAAGCAAGAAAAAGTACTCTTTTAGAGTTCATTTTACGGATTACTAGGTTATCTCAAAGCAAGTGAGAAATGTTACATTGCATAATCGATGAAAACGTGGTTACACGTTTTGACTTACGAAAACCACAAAATTTGCATATAATTAGATTAATAGGTATAAATAGCAGTAAAATATTTCTATCGCATACCCTCGTAAAATAGTTACATCACTATATATAGATTGAAAAAGAAGATTTCAAAGAAAACTAGAAGCAAAGATAAGTCCTGAGTGCAAAACAAGTTTCGTAAATTCAATTCAATTAGAGACCATATTCTTGGACGTCTTGAAATGACATCGCGACATTTCCTTGTATATTATATTCATTTGCAAATTCAAAATTCGTAAGCTAAAGGAAATGAAATACCGAACATTTTTACAGTTTTTGCTATAAAAGTAAGTCAAAATCTCTTGTAATTTCTGGAAATGCGTCTCTTAAATTACACTTCCTCATTCTGAAGCCAATGGGCGCACATTATTGCTAAGGAATATGAAACCTGAGACAGACACTACCACTTAAAGGGGTATCTACGATATCATCTTGCGTTTTAATGACGTAACTCAAGTGAGTAAAATTTTATTCTGAAAATAATATTTATGGACGAGGTAACATGAAGCTATTTGTCTTACCACGAAAGTTTTTCTAGCAATTTAATTAGAAAGATTAATCAATTCGAAACTCATTTGCACTCTTCTCGCCACGCTGGTGCCTTGGTTTTGTATTCATGCTTCAAACATAAATATATTGTACATTTCTTTAGTAATTTCAATTGAGAGTTTGTGGTAAATTGTACTGAAAACGAATAAAATGAATCAATCTCAATTAAATAAACATGTTATATTTAATAAAATATAAAACATTCAAACAAAAACCAAACATTAAAAACTACTTTTGGGGAATATTCCTCATCTTCAGTGATTATGGCAATAGCCTTCAAACAGCACAGAAAAATCAAGGATTAAATGATTCAAGTAACTTATAGAAATAATTATTTAGATCATATCCCAATAAAAGTGGTCAAAGCATCTTCGCTCTTTTGTACTTTGATCGCATTATCTGAGACAAGTTCTGAATTAATATTTTCTGTAAATTAATTTGATAATTGATCGTTGCAAATTTTATTTCTTTTTATATTTTGAATTTGTTTGTGGACTTTGATTTTCTAACCACGGAATGTAGGACATTGTCTCAAAAATTAGTTATTTTTGTTTCAATGTTTTATTTTTATTAAATGTAAAAATTTGTTGTAATTGTTGTTGATGAGTTAACTTCATTCAAGAAACTATTTTAACTTTTATCTTGATTGCAAGTAAGGGTCTACAACTGAGAGAACGAATTAACTTCATCGGTTGTAATTTGCATGTAGAGGACCAGAGGAGTTGCTGAAAAATTATGAAGTCTCTTGTAATAGGTGTTTTATCATGTACAAAAAGAAAATGAAGAATGTTGGCTGGATAAATGTTGGAAATAGATGAATGATTGTTGAAATTCTATTCATGTGTATTATTAAAAAATCAGTGTTATAAAGTAACATTACAAATTTATGTATGTATGTACACAAGCATGTTTACATGTATTTCTAGCCATCTCTGAGAAAATATGAAAATGAGACAATACATTTCGTAAGTAAGAATTGAGTCACATAAATACAAAACAGTTTCATAATTTAGTGTTATTCTTAGTTTTTCATAAATGATGAAAAGAAACAAATTTTCAAACTATTTCGCACCAGACTTACTCAAGTACAGCGGTTTCCCAATATTTGCTCAAGGACCCTTCTTTTAAACGTTTTCTCTTGGAAACATTAATCCTTAATTTTGTATCCACTGTGGTGTTATAATAATAGAATAGGGTTTTTGGCTTTGCGGAATCGAAAAAAGCTCTTTGGAGCAATTCCTCAGGAAGAACAGTTGTGGCAAATTTCGAATTTTTAATGAAGTCACAAGAATCAATGACAAGATATTTCCTACTTCGTATTCGGCGATTGACTCACAATTCAAACCTCTTTAAAAATCGATTAGAATTCTGTGTTTGGTAATGGTATTGGATTCATTCCGTTATTTTTGCAAGTATTCAGGTTTCCGCTGATGATTGTTTGAAAACCGCTGCCCTAGAGTAGTACATTCCGCCAAAGAAAACGCACTGAAAATAAAAATGAGAACGACTATGAAAATGACGATCTACTTCCTACTGCCAACTACTAATGATGAAAGAGGGCGTTACTGAACTGTCTAATTATTCCAGGAGCCGAAGCGCACCTGCGTCGCTGTGTGGGGCGGCTGGTCGTGGGCGGTGGGGGCGGTGGAGGAGGAAGGGGGGTGGCGGGTGGAGGCGGGGGCGACGAGGCGCCTCGCCGCCACGCGCGCGTCGCCTCGGGCCCGCCCCCGCCGCCGCCGCCGCCCCCGCTCGCCGCGCCGCCGCCGCGACCGAGTCCGCGGACGGCGACCGGAAGAGGGCCCCGGGCGAAGCGGCGGCGCCGGCGCCGGCGCCCGCGGGCGACGCGTCCTCGTGGCCGGGCTCGGCGCGCTGCTTCTGCTCCTCCAGCCACTCCTCCATGCTCTGCGCGGGCGCCGCTTGGCGCTGCCGGAAGTCCCCGAACGGGGCCGAGTCGCCCGCGCCCAGCTCCGCCACCTCGGGCCGCGCACGCCTGCAAGGCGCAGGCTGCGTCCAACACACGGCCACTCGGCAGCCACGGGTGCAGCCATCGAGAAGGGCACAACTCCTCATGCTTTTATTACAGAATAAAAGTGCCATTTTCTGCGTTTTTTAAAATTAATTTTGTTTTTTAATCTTTTATTTAATTTAAATTAATTTTGTAATTTCTGATTTTTAAATTAATTTTGATGCACTTCATTAATGCAACTTCGTTCTACCTGATTCGTGACCAAAATATTTATTTTTAAGGAAATGATAGAGGGAAAGACAAAGAAACTACCCATCTTATTAAAATTCGACTAAAAATATACTTCAGTTTTGTGATTGAAAATTAATCTTACAATTGCTTCAAAGGATGTTGAAACTAATTTGTCCAGTTGAAAACGTGCATCAATTTGTAGAAAAAAAAGTGACAAACTTTAATTTGAGCATTAATAATTGTGAGCTCCAAATCCTAACCATGTAAGATTTAAATATTTTTGGAAGCAGAGAAAAAGCCCAAAATAATTATTTTCAAATAATTCCCAGTCGAATTTAGTTATATTAATAAAATATAAATGTAGAATTTGAAGGAGATAAAATATTGAACTAGAATCATTTAAATTTATTTTAAAAAATTGAAGATTTTCTAAAATACAATAACGGAACTTCAACACCGATTCAAAATAAAATTAACGGAAATTCTATAAACATCTATGATTGTCGTGTAGAACAGGACATCGAATGACAGTACCTGGATGGTGAGCGGGTGCGCCTCTGGTATTCGGCGAAGGTCTCCTCTGGGTCTCCCGCGAGGGACAGGTTTGAAGGCGACCTCTTGGAGGGAGAGTACGATCTGCGGTGGTAGTCCCCGAAGGGTGCAATGGAGTCGGTAACTTTCACATCGGAGGCCTCCGAAGCAGGCCTTCTCGAAGGAGAGTACGTTAGGCTTTGGTCAAAAGACTCCGACCTGTCGGTTGACTTAAGACCGGTGGTCTCGAACTGCGCTCGTCTTGACGGCGAATAAGATTTCTGGTAACTACGGTAGAAATCTGACGAATCTTCCGACCGCAAATCACTCGTTTCAGACGGTACTCTTCGTGAGGGAGAATACGAGAGCCTGTCGTAGTCTCTAACGTCAGAGGAATCACTGGATTTAACATCACTTGTTTCTGAAAGAGCTCTTCTTGAAGGAGAAAACATGTGCCTCTGGAACTCGCCGAAAGACTCTCTGGATTTGAATTCAGATTCCGTAGACGCCGATCGTCGGGCCGGAGAATACGTGTGCCGCTGAAATTCGCCGAAAGCGTCCGATGTGTCCCTCAAAGTCAGTTCATCCAACTCTGCTTTCCTCGCTGGAGAGTACGAATGCCTCCTGAAGTCGCTCAACGCAGCCGAGTCCCTGCCTGCCGTGTCGAAGGCGGCGGAGCTGTCTGAAGCGGACAGGCCTCTTCGGGCGGGGGAGTACGGCTGGCGACGGAACTCACTCAAAGTGTCGGCGGATTCTTCAGCGGCGGCCACGTCCAACGTGTCGGAGGCGGGTTTTCTCGAGGGAGAATACGAACGCCTCCGGAATTCGCTGAACGCGTCGCCGGCAGCGTCCGCCGGCGCGACCTCGAGCGTCTCTGTCGGCGCTCGGCGTGAAGGCGAGTACGAGCGGCGGAAATCGCCGAACTCCTCTCGATGCTCTTCGGCTGGGAGGTCGTGCGAGTCCGTGGGAACCCGCCGCGCCGGCGATCGCTGGCGGAAATCCCCGATGTCTTCCCGGAAGCCCTCAGTGGAGACACGCGCGTCCGCCTCCAGCGCTTGGGTTGTCGGCTGACGACGGGAGGGAGAGCGCTGGCGGTAATCCACAATGTCTTCCCGAAAGCCTTCAGTGGAGAGACGTGAATCTGTATCCAGAGCTTGTGTTGTGGGCTGGCGGCGTGAGGGTGAGCGCTGACGGTAATCTACGACGTCTTCCCGGAGGCCTTCGGTGGAGAGTCGCGCCTCCGCCTCAAGCGTTTGGGTTGCCGGCTGACGACGCGAGGGCGAGCGCTGGCGGAAGTCTCCGATGTCTTCTCGGAAGCCTTCGGCAGAGAGTCGAGCGTCGGCGTCGGCGTCGAGCGGTTGCGTCGCCGGCGTTCGGCGCGAGGGCGATCGCAGGCGGAAATCCCCGATGTCCTCTCGGAAGTCTTCGGCCGCGAGCCGCGCGTCCGCGTCGTGCGCTCTGGCCGCAGGGGGGCGGCGCGACGGCGAGCGCTGGCGGAAGTCCCCGAGGTCCTCTCGGAAGTCGCTGGGTGCGAGGTCGCGTGCCTCTGCCGACGCCTTCCCCGGAGAGTAGGAATACCGACTGAAGGGCCCGAACTCGTCTTCAGAGGCCAAGTCGCGTTTCTCCTCCTGCGGTTTCCTGGAGGGTGAGTACGATCGTCGCCGATAGTCACTTAAGTCATCTGACGGCCGTTCTGGCGACTTCGACGGGTAGCCACTAGGCATCGTGGTGGAGGGCGATTCGGATTCGTACTTGGAGTGGGAGCGCCCCGCCGTGCCTCCGGGAAGGTCTAGTAGGTCGCTGAGGTAGGAAGACGACTTGGCGTCCTCGTCGCGAGGGAACAGAGGTTTGGAAAAGTCCCGCTTGGAGCTGTCGTCGCGATCGACGCCGGAGTAACGCTCCAGAAACGTCAAAGTGCTGGACACCGGGGGCCGCTCGGGCACGTCACGTGACTCGGAACAGGAAGGAGCGGAGGCGACGAGGCAAAGCCCGGTCGGCGTTCTCGCGTTGCGAGTCGGGTCGAACAGGAGTCGAAGTAATGGCTGGTGTAGCGCCGCGAGGGTGCGCCTCTTCCGCCCTGCTGTTCGCGCTCTCGTCAGACTATCGAAGGAGCGGCCTCGGTCGACGGCTGGGCGCGGTTGGTCGGGCGGGCGCGCGGAACGTCTTCGCGAGCGAGAAAGCGCCTCGGGCTGCGGCAGGCACTGAGGTCGGTCGCCGGGCGGCGGCGGGCGGCCCCGGGAGGGCCCCTGGGCGTGGAGGGGGCTGGGGCTTGAGGAGCTCGTCGAAGCTTCCTGAGGAAAGCGCGCCGGATGTTGGGGAGAAGGGGCCGCGCCGCCGCCGCGGCGGAGCCGGCTGTGTCCGCCGGGGCGCGGGGGGGGGCGGGGGGGTGGGGCGGGGAGCGGGCGGGGGCGGGGCCGGGGCGTTCCGGGCGGGCGGCCGGCAGCAAGCGCGAGATGTCGTCGAGCAGGCGGCGGCCGCGCTGCGCGGCGGCGTCGGCGGAGGCGCGCGCCGCGGGGGCTGGGTTCGGGGCTGGCCCCTGGCTGACGGCCGGGTGGGCGTGGCGGCGCGGGCGGGGCGCCCTGCTCCGGGGGTGCCCCGCCCGCCTCCTCCGGTGGCGGCGCGCCGGCCGGCTGCTCCTGCGGGCGAGGGCGAGGGCGGCGGTGAGCGGCGGCGCTGCACCCGCGATTCGCCACTAATAAGGCGATTGCGACCTCGCAAGCCGGAATTAGGTCCGAAGCGAAAAACAATAGCACATGCCACGCTCATTGGGAAACGGGTGTGAAGCAGGGAAATTCGGACGATGCTAATGCAGGGAGCAAATAAAGCAGAAAGAGGCACCTATACAAATCAATAAAGTAAATAATCGAAAAATTCAAATGACCTGCAAATGCTGTAACTTTTTGACAGCTTAAAAATGATATTTTTCAGAAAAACTGAAGTAGCAAACATACCCAAAAATTCTCAACAACAGGAACATATAATCTTCCTTCTATTAATTAAATATTGATAAATTGAAAAAAATTGAGTTAAAGAGACATCTGGGACTATTAATTATTTCATAAGACAAAGTTTGTGTATGCAGGTTAATAACTAAAAATCTATGCGTGATATTTGATTTGATACTCTTGTGAAAACTAATCTACCAATAATATCCAAACTGGCTTCGAGAACTGTAACGTATGGACGTAATATCACATTCAGTGATATGTAATTGTGAATTATCAATATTCTAAGAAAAGAACGTTTTGATATATTACAATTCTGGGTTCCCAAGGGAGAAAAAAAGAATTTTTTCGCACTTCTCTTGCTTGCAACGTGTTTGATGAACTTTAATTTGAAGAAAAAGATAAATTCTATTTACGCACAGAAAATACTCTGGGCGACGTAAAAATAGGTTTAAAAGATGCAAAAGAGTTTAATAATTAGAATGAAAAATGCAGAGAAAAAATGGCACATATATAACATTTAAATCATATTGCATTTAAATCACACGTGTGACATTGCATTTAAATCCTATTGCAGTTATGTAAATAAAAATATAGATTGCAGCCCTAACATTATATATTTATATTACAGATATGGTTTTCAAGTCAGTATTCTCCCGAGGTCGGCCCAGTAAATAACGTATAAGAATTATTCGTTAGTGAAAAAGCAATTTCTTGTTGTTCTGCAATATATTGCAAGTAAATTAATAATGGATGTATTCAGTACCTGATAAAATGTTATTGTCTCATTCCAGATGTTGCAGTTTTCATTGCCAGATTTTTATGACTAGTCAAAATTCTACGTCCGTGCATCGTTCATTGAGTTTAAATTTTATTTTAAGGGCTACTTTTATACCTACTCAAATTCTGTGAAGCAATAACATGCATCAAAACATTCTAAGGATTGGGATTAGATCCATATATAAATCAAATTTAATGAGAGCATGCGATCAGGGCCTTCAAAATAGATTTCCGGAATTTCGAGTGCCTATTATTGTTAAAAAAAAGTAAATAATTCTGAAGTTTGTTTTGTTCGTATAGTAGATATTGTGATTAGTTTTTTTGAACATAGTGGGCTCTTATCTGTGTGATTCGTTTTCATGAGGTCAGCAAACTCGTACATAAAAATACAGTTCATTACTAATCTTTTTTTTAAAATAAATAATTTTCATACATCGAAAGCAAGTGATTTTTGGGAGATCACTAATTTTATTCTAACCCACTTGTTCGTTGATTGTTACTTTTCAGTGAATAATTGTATAATTTTGTTATTACATTCTACATTTTAGATGATGCGTTTATGTCTTTTGATAGTAAGAAATAAACCGACTTCAAGATTCACTGAGTCGGTTTATATATTTCGAACTTCGATATTAATTATATGTATTATACTTAGTTAGTATGAAAAGACCATAACGAATTACAACGAAGATAAGCAATGAATCCGTGTGATCGTTAGACATGTTATGCATATATAATTGAATAAGCCCATTACTGAACTTCTTATGAATATTTTTACTGAAGAAGCTCAATAGTCATGGCAATTACTATTAGAGTGCCGCTTTATGTATTTCATTAATAAAATAATGTTAATGTGATTCCGGAAATATATTCGGTGACTCTGTATAAAGCCTACCTCTCTGTTGTTGAATTGTGTCTACGAACAGACAGTTTTATTACTTTGTTGAGTAACATCCATTCAGTACTGATGGGTTTCCTTGCAAAGTATTTCAAGTTGTGAAAAGATATACGATTTTGGGGATAATATGTGGAATTCTCGGTTATGGACACATCTAAAGAGGACTTATGGAGTTACGTACTAAACAAATGTAATTAATTAAACTTTTTGCATTAGAACAATTGTGTATAAATTATTTCAATCTTTATCACTGAATTAATTATTTCAATTACTGAACAACATAATTAATGTTCATAAGTTTATTCTCAATCAAGAAGTTTTAATTTAAATACACTTATGCACTAAGCAATTTCATGATAACTGTTAGCCTGTGTTATCCTTCTCTTTTCACCAACATACAGGAGGTACTCAAATAGGAACTATTAAATATTTTAAAAGATACCTATTTCTGAAGAATAAAACGTATTGTTATTAATAGGAGTTTCCTCAACAATTTTACACTACCATCCCATGATGATAAATATGTTTAAAGATACTTCAAATGCTATCATGGCGATATGTTGCGTTAAGTAGCATACGAATTTGATAGCTCAATGAATTGTTATGAAATTGGTATAATTTTTTTGTTTCACAAGTATTCCTTCTTTGCCGGTAAATTAAATATTGACCGTAAGAAAAGTTAAATCTACTGTGAAGTTAAGTGGATTTCTGGTACACTTGTTTGATATATGTGGTACTTCATGTAAACAAAGCGAATGAACGAACTCAACGGCGAAGTGTAGCAACTGCTGCTGAAATGTTACGGATAGAAAATGACCCCCTTTCCGAGAATAATTTATTTATTTGCAGACGAAGTAAGTCCCTAAAAAACATGAAGCAATTTGAGTTCCTGCTTGGTATGAACGAAACAACTTTCGAAATAATATTTTCAGCTCTCTCTCTCTGTGAACGATTCAATTATCTTAACAGACTAGCAAACAAATAAGGTGCGTTCACTGCACTTTCTTAGAAGTATTTTAACAAGACCAATTGAAGTGTGATCGCATCGTAGAAACAGGACGTATATTTGAACTCCTTCCATCTGTAGACCCTGGCGTATGGAGACACAACGTCTTCAACGCATTCAGTACTCATCAAGGGAGGTGGTAAGAAAGAAGCTCGATTGTTTCTCTATACTTGAGATTCTTGGATTACTTTCTTTCAAATTGACGGGGTCTGCTTTTCTAGAATACTACGTATTATCAAAATCAGACATCCATAAACAAAATAATCCGGTTTTGAAACGAATGAATAATGCTGTGTCTGGTTTTATTAGAAAATAAAGACTTGTTAAAGAGAGTGAAAAATAAAGACTGATTTAGATGTAATATGTCATCTTTTGCAATGTAGTGGTTATGGAGCCTATGTCAAAGTTCAGGGCAAAGTTCCGTTTATCTTTTGCCGAAAAATACGAAGACCCTCTCCGGAGAGGCGAGCCCTCACAGATATAGATAGATAGGCTTATTATTTCTGCAGGTAGGTTTATACAACCTGGTAGCAGAACACTACAATTAACGTATTACAGTTAGGAATATTGATACAATGTAATTTCAAAATATTTTAAGACAATTTGCACAGCCTTTGGTGCGGGTACATTGCAGCCGTCGTGCCATTCCAAGAGCCGCCATCCCAACAATCTACGGTCCCGAGAGCGGTCAAACGATGCAGAAGTGGTGAGATTTTCTTTGGAGCAGCAACTCATTTTTAAGACCTATAAGAATTTTCTTAGAATTCTGCCGAATTTTTAAGCATTGTACGCAGTACTGATCGAATAATTATTTGTAGGTTATGGACACCCAGTTTACCTGATCTAACATACTTGTTTTTTATGGAGGGTTAATTTCGATATCAAGTGTACGAAAGAAGTGCTCTGGGAAGGTACTGGAATGAATACTGCCGTAAACCTGCGTGATTTTGTTCGAAGAGTTAATCAAAATATATTTTGGAAGTGCCAATACTTTCTCTAGGATAAGGTACACGAGGTAAAGTGGCGCGAATCCACGTCTAGGGGCTGTGTTAGCGCTTTGCCTCGACTCGCTAGGCAACAATTTCCGGTTGTTCGGCGAAAGATAAGTTGTCCGCATAATAAGGCCGCCTTGACCATCATCACTTCATCCCTAATTAGTTAAAAAATGACGTGGCTGATTATTGAATGATTTATTACTGATTCTTGGTGCGTCAATTGCAAATGCCATTAGTCTCGTTAGTGTAGTGTATGTTTTTTTCGGAGATGATGGTGACCTTCGCCTGCTGGATTGCGAGATCTTGCGTCGATTTACATCGGCTTTGCTCGACCAGTTATCTCCCACGAGCCTGGCACCGCCCCAGCGGCGGCAAGCTCTAAGTTCCCGACGTGTGTGGTAGTATACTGCATGTGAATGTGTGTGAAGAAAGGACAAGAGTACGGAAAGATCGCGCACGGTACTCCTCTCGTTTGTTAGGATCCTGCTCGAGCATTCGCCAGGTGATGACCGGGTAAACCACGAAAAACTACCGATCAGAGCAACCGGCCGCTCTATTTTCCTTCAGGCAGCGGCAGAATTCGACCTAATGGCGACGGCCAATGACGCGGCTGCCTTTTGGACCGTTCTTTTTTCGATATTTCTGCCGTTCCCCTCCACACAGATGCATCTTCCAGGTGTCTATCCTGTTCAGTTTTCTAGTTTCTACCTTTCCGCCCCCTCCCCCATCTCATCTAGTCACCCGCCACCGCCCTTTTCCTTCTACGCCTATCACGGGACACCCGCCCTTCACCTATTGGTCGCCGATGCACCCAGTCGGCCTACGCGCCTTTCCTACAAGATGAGACACGCCAACCTCTTGGCAGCAGTATAGCTCTGAAGAAGGCCACAGCAAGCGGCCGAAACGTCAGCACAATTGACCGAGACGCGGCTCATTCCGGATAGCCAAGAACGCATTGACCTCGGCCGCGAAAGCCAGCGAACCCAGATTTCGACCTAGCTATCTAGCCAGGGTCGAAAATCTTGCCCACGTCGGGATTTGGACTTGGGGACCTCCCGGTCAAAGGCACTGCAGTGACGTCAGTTGACGCCCTGAGCCACGCGCGCAGCTCACCTGGTCGGCGAGGGCGCTGGGGCGGCGCGCCTGGGTGAGCATCCGCTGCAGGATCTCCGTGTTCTCCTGGATGATGCGCAGCGCGCGCTCGCTGTTGCGACGGCCCAGCAGCGCCGCCTCCGCCGTCACCTCCTCCGCCTCCTGGCCGTCCCCCTCCCGCTCCATCTTCCCCTCTTCCACCTCCGCCTCAGCCTCCACCCGCCCCAACTCCTTGGCCAGCGTCGACGCCAGGAAGGAGAAGGGCTCGTCGCTAGAGGTCACCACGGCTGGGTCAGGCGCAGCCGCGCTGCTGGCGGCGAGCGAAGAAACTACCACCTGTGAACGACAGCGCCGCCATTTTGTTAATCGCCACCGAGCGACGTTCTCAGAACTTAACTTCAATTTAAACGTAATAGTACTTCAAGGTCACGACCTGGATGGGGAGGGGGACTTTGTCATCCAATCCGGAGCTCCAATAGCAAAATTGTAAGTCGTAACGAATTGGATGACAGTGTCCTCGCCGTCCAGCCCGTGATCTTGAAGTGTCACTACGTTCAAATCGAAGTATATACTTTCATTAAAACAGGGAGGCCTTTCAAGGTCACGAGCTCAAAAGAGAGGGGGGAGACTGACATCCAATCGGGAGCTTCAATATCAAAAATTGAAGTCGTAATAAAGCTTGCGATTCGATGACCGTGTCTCCCTCTCCTGACACATCGTACCCTTAAAAAGGACTTCCAGTTTTAATCGAAGTATACCTCACGAAACTATTGCAGTCTTTTTTCATGCCAATTTCGTGATTGTTTTAATACAGCAAAATGCTGATTTCTTACAATTTATTTTAAAACTTCATTCATTGCAGAACAATAGGAGGTTTTAAAGAGAAATGAATGCATGTTTCATGCTTCATAATCAGCCAAAATTCGAACATGCTTACGTTAAATTTGCAACTAGTGTAAAACAACAAGCAGCAATTGATATGCAAAACCCTGCAATTCAAAACTAGCAATATTTTAAAGTATATAAAAATTGTTACTTAAAACACTCTAGAAATTCAGACCTTTACATATACGAATTACAATGAAAGAAATCAATGAAGGTTAAATAACAGCGAATTGCAATTTCAGTTCAGAAATATTTTAAATACTTTCATGGTAATATGAATGGAATTCCTAACTACTTCAACACTATTACTCAAATTTGCAATTTAAAAGACTTATTGACACTTTACAAATAGTACCTGACACAATACAAAAAGTACCTTTACGGGGTTATGTAGTATACACAAGCTAAATGTTAATAGAAATTTATTACTACACTGCACCAAAGTTTGAGATATTACTTACATATGAAAATATTTGATTATCATGCATGAAACAACACTTAGTATATTTGTATTTCCTTTTTAACTAGTCCAAAAAATCAAAAAATATATATTTTCTAATTCTACTTAGTGTTCCTAAATACATAATATTCAATAAAATGTTGAAACCTGTGGTTACATTATAAAAATATAAATTTCAAATATGGAAGTCATGCTAAAATACCTAGCTATTAATAAGAAAATTATGTGTGACTCAAAAATGAGAAAGCCAATTTGGTTATGTGTTCTAATTCTTCCAGGCAGCACAGACAGAAAACTATCGCTGCACTATCTAAACACCAATGCACTAAAGAGCAAACTTCGATGCACAGCACGATGCAGTCGAGCAAAGCCACGTGGCAGGGCGCTCAGTCCGCATTCCCTAGAGCCCCTTCCGCTCCAGCCCGGCTTCAAACCGCGGCTTCGAACCGCAGCTTCGAACCGCGGCTTCGAACCGCGGCTTCTTCACGCACTGCGGCCGCCCCTCTGCAGTTGGAACCGCGCGACGCCATGGCGAAGGTTTTGGGGAAGCAGCTCAGTGGCCAAATAGCGCACTTCGGACCCGACCAGCCCGCGGCGCAATGGATTGCTCTCGAGGGATTCCACGTATGACTTCACAACATTAGGTTACGGCCAGGCGATATTAAAAGAATGGAAGATGGTTCCTTCCTTCATGCACACTCATTGCGTAACTTCAACCTATTTGATTATTTCGAATTCTGTAAAAAAGTCGATCAAACACGAATTCGCCAAAATGGATTCACGAGCAAAGTTTCAAAAAGTGATAATACGCAGACCCTTAAAAAAGCGATTAAATGAGGACCTTCCGAGCGAACTGGCAATGTAATATCGTGTTTCCAGAATCAGCACGTTCGTTGAAGATAAGTTGAAACTAAAGAGTATTATCGGAGTTGTTCACAGATACGGTTGATCCATTTGGGAGAAGGGAGAAGAAATGTTTAAGCAGCTCACAAAATTTCTCGGTGCAATGCCCACACAAACGCCGATCAAGCGGGAATGAATAAATCACAGAAAAGAAAGATGCCAAAATGAAGAAATATACCCGTAGATCGGATGAGCGCTGCAGAAGTATGAAATGAAAAAACTTGCAATGAGTGTTCCATAGAACCAACTGCTTCACCGCCAGAAATAAAGACCGGCGGGGGTAACTTGGCGGACGAACGTAGGTTGCCGCAGCCAGACTCGCCGGGCGAACGTGTCCGGTGCAGCCTGCGCTGGCTGATTTCGCCGCCTGAGGGCATCTGCGCGGGGGGGTGGGGGCGGGGGGGGTGGGGGGTGTGGGTGGGGAGCCGCAGGTGCGAGCTGGCAGCCGGATCGAACGCGGCTGCCGGCAGGCCGTAGCTACGCCGGAGTGGCCGGAGCGGAAAGGGGGCAAGTTTGCCAGTCTCTTGAATCAGGTGCTCAAACGGGGAGGCGCCATTGCGCAGCTTGGTTTTGAATTCGGCCGATGGGAGGGTAGAGTAAGGCGCTCCGCGTAACAGACTGAATCTAAGCTAGTGAAGGCGAGTGCTGTCCTGCAGCGGCCCACGCGGGAAGTTCGCAATCCTTGCATTTGAGCTGTTCTACTAATCAACGCGAATGGAGGGAAGGGGCAGCGAGGCGCTTGACGCGATCGGCCTGTCTGCGAAGCGAGGCAACACGAGTCTGTCTGACGTGTCATAGAGTCTAGTGGGTCCAATGCTTTGCATTTAAGCAGTCTAAGGAATCAACCCGATGGGGAGGAAACGGACAGGCGAGGCGCTGGGCGTGATCGGCTGCTAGTCTGTGAAAGCGAGAGCGCACGCGGGTAATGTGTGGTGGTGCAGTTCCGCCGTGCTAGCGTGGAGACCCAATTTGCTTGCATTTGAGCAGCTTTAAAGAATAACCCGGTGGAGGGAGAGAGGGGCAGGCAAGGGCACTTGGGCGTGATCGGTTAGTCCTGCGAAAGGCGAAAAGCCAACGCGAGTCATGTTGAAAGCGCGGTGCCGTGTAGTGTGGTCCCAATGCTTTGCATTTTGAGCTGCTATTGAACTCAATGCGCCGATGGGAAGGGGAGGGGGGAGGGGCAGGCGATGCGCGTTGGGCGCGATCGGCTTAGTCTTGCGAAAGAACCAGTTTACTGCGCGGGATGCGGTCCGCCGTGCGTGGGCGTGGTCCCAATGCTTGCGGTTTGAGCCGCCTGACTCGAAATTCCTGCGGATCCATCAGCAGGCGCCAGGCATCCCGCTAGGGCCCGCGCCCGCTGCTGGGGCCTGGGGCCGTACCGGCGAGGCCGTGGTCCAGGCTGCGCAGGGGCGGGCTGAGCGCTCGGGCGATCGTCCGCGCCGGGCGAGCGGAGGCCGTCGGTGCGAGGCGAGGGGCGACGTGAGGGCGACAGCTGCGGCTGGGGAAACGGTCGGAAGGGGCGGGGGCTGGGGCGGAGATGGGGTGCACCGGGCGGCGTGGGGCTGCGGGGACGGCGGAGGGGGCGGGGGCCGGGCAAGCGCAGACTCGGGCTGGTCGATGCATGGCGCCTGGGGATGTGGACTGTGTCAAGCAAGGTTTGTTCCGCTGGGGTGGGTGGGGCGGGAGGGTAACTGGAGGAAGTCCGAAACAGGATTCAGAGAAGACGGCTACGGAAGCGGGAGTGAGTGGAAGCGACGAGGTGAAGATGGGGAGGCTGGAATTGGCTGCGGGGGTGGACTGCCGAGGGGGGCGGGCGCGTACACAAAGTTGGCTGGCAGTCGGAGTTGTGCGCACAAGCGACGAAGCGTCAGGAGATGTAGAAGCGGCGCTGAGAGCAGGGGTAGGATTAGCAATATTGTACAAGGGAGCAGATTCGGATGCAGATGTGGGACTTACTTTAGGTCTGGGGTTTCCCGCGGGATTAGAACTTAGTTCAAAAATATATTTGGGCGCAGTGTACGAGCTAGCAGCAGAGAGAGGACTGAAGACGAGAGTGGGACCGGCGGCAGACGGGGAGCTAAACGCAGGCGTGGGGCTGACGTCGGGCGTGGGGCCCACGCCAGACGTGAGCGTGGCGTCCTCGGACGAGGTGAAGGAGGAGGTGAGGGTGGGCGCCGGGGACTGCGAGGAGGCGGGCGTGGGCGAAAGGGCGGAGATGGAGGTGAAGGTGGAGTCGAAGGCGGTGAAGGAGGAGGAGGCGGAGGAGGAGTCCGGGTCGGCGCCGGGCGAGGGGGCGGGGGCGGGGGCCGCCGCAGTGGGCGCGTCGGCCGTAGGAGACGTCACGTGGATGAGGAAAGGAGTCGCGGGCGGCGCGGCGCGGGCGGCGGGGCCGGAGGCGCCGGGGCCGGCCTTCGATCCGGGGAACCCCCGAGCGCTCGTCGCCGCCTGCGACGTCTCGAAGGCGTAAGCTGCTCGCTGCTCCTACGAGGACGAGCGGCCGCTCTTCGTATCGCTGTCCAACGAGGCGGTGTAGGGCCTCTCATTGTGACTGTCGTGTCAGGGGGATCCGAAGGGGGTTTGCGTCCACTTGGGAAATATTACCAAAGAATTTGGTCGCCTGTCTCTTGCAGCATATGTATCCTTACGTTAGGGAATTTACGTTTCAGCGATCCCTTTCCATAACCTGAGATGCATCGAATTATCAGTGAGGTATTTGAAATAAAATTATAAGCTTAATTACAACACTGAATGACAATAACTCGTGATTTTGAATCGCAATATTCGATGAAGATCAACTTTGAAAAAAATGTTAGTATAATGAAACATATTATACTGTATAATAGTGACAAAATGTGTTCCTTAGAACTATAATTATGTTTTAAAATACTTTCAAAGAGCACTCAGTTTCTCGATGATTAATATATTTCAGTAAAGTAGCAATGTTAAAGTGAGTATCGTTCTACAATATCATAAATACCATTTCTCAGTTCTTTAGTTCCAATACAACAAAGGAAACAGAAACTGGTTCTCTAAAAAAGGTTACTTTGAAAGATTAAAGAATTAGACTTCAGGAATATGAGATGTAATCAACAAAACCAGGCGGAGGTTGAAACGCACAAGATAATTTTCTGCAGTAGAGACAAAGAAGTAAAACTAATTTGAATTAAAAAGAAGAAATTTGCTTTTCTCTTGATTTTGGGATCTTTTAAATGCGAGAATGTATCATGTGGCACGACAGTCGCAATTTTCATCCTTGCAACGCCTCATTGTGGAATATTGCAGTAACATTACATTTTAAATTACTTGTTTTCTTTCTAAAATACAATTTCATTACTTTCTGAGAAATCATTATAACTTTGCAGTTCTTCTAAATAAAAATTATATTTTGAATAATGCTTTTTGTGCTATAAATTCTACAATAATTTGCCAAATTTCTCGAACTACTAGTTTTGTAAAAGACATTAATGTCCATTATTACAATCAACAACAAAAGAAAAAATATTTTTGTTTATTATGTGTACTTATGAATAGGTACATGTCCATGTAACTCATGAGGAGGAATGAGGAAAATAAGATGTGAATGTGACATTGAATTCATTTCAATTCATTTTAATGCTCCAAATTCAACTCGAAGTGTGAACGATAATAATTAACATGCTTTCTTAATGTAAATATAAGGGCTCTCAATCCCAATTCGAATTCAACTTTTATTTTTTCTTTAAGTTTCGCAAGAAACAGGAAAACATTCAGGGATTGATGTAACAAAGAAACTTCAAGCAGGAAGTACTAACAAAAACCATATCGTTATAAATAGAGGAACATGACGATGTGACAATTAAAATTTATAAAAAAAGTGTTAATTTTCTAGGCCGAGGTACTGGTTTTATTCGCAAGAACTTAGTATTTAAGTTGATTTATCTTACCGGTAAAACTGCCTGGTGTTTTTAGACCTGCTGTAGGTCGCCTTAAGCACAGCCCATTAAAATTAAACATTACACATAACGTTTTAACTGTCTGGGAGACGCCGTGTCCTAGGCTCAGGTGCCAATGTTTCAGCAGTCATTCTGCGACCTTCTTCAGGGCGAAATCACTTCTGTGACCTTCCTCAGGGTATTTAACCCTGAGAGACGTTGACACTTGTGCCTAGGACACGGCGTGCTCGGACAGCCAAGTAGTAACTGACTTCGTCCGGGGAAGCCTACGCTCTCAAGATGGCATCGTCCACAACAGTGGTGCGTTACCTTGGCGGGCGTGCCTGGGCTGGCGAGCGCGCGCGCGGGCGCCGACGCCACCGCCACCGCGGGCTCCTCGGCGCAGCGGGCGATGCTGTTCTCGAGCTCCGCGATGGACTCGAGCACGTTGAACGACGACACCGTCCTGGGAATGGAGAGCGCGCGGGCGGGCGCGGCGG